TGCCGCGCCCTGAGACCGCGGGCACCGCCAGGGGAGGAACAGCAGATGGAGTTTGGAAAAACGATCTACACTGGATGCTGCTGCTCTCCCCCCGCCCCCCCCCCCCCCCCCCCAGCAACCTGCGCGGAAGCGGAGTTGTCCAGACTTGCTGGGACAAACTTCCCAACACCCGAACGCTGGGGTGACACGTGAACCATGGTTACGCTCTAGGCTGCGAGCAGATGGCACGCCAGTTAGCCCTGGAAACTGGACTGGAAGCCAAACGAATTTTTTTTTTTTTAATATTTTTTTGCAAATCCGGAAGTGTTTCTTGGTATTCCCTTTTTGGAACATTGCAAATAACTAGGAGGGAGAAAAGCCTTATTTTTAAAAAAGTAATTCTCCGCAATATGGGCTAGCATTTTGGGAAACAGTCGAGATATTTTCCTCGACACTACTGATTTGTATTAAATGTTTCACTTCCTTCAACATTAATTTGTTATTTAAAATGTGAATGTTGGTAGAGGCAACCTTTTTTTTTTTTTTTTTTTAAATAGACTTTATTGTTTAGAATAGTTTGATTTACAGAAAAACGGAGTCTACAAACTGTTCCCATACATCCAGCACCTAATTCCACCCACTATTAGCATCTTACACTAGTATAGTATATTTGCTAAAATTAATGTCCCAATATTGGTACATTATTTTTAAAGTTATTCCTTTATTAAGATTTCCTTAATTTTTACTTAAAATCTTTTTTCTGTTCCAGGATACCTCATTACTTTTAGCTTTCATGTCTCAGGCTCCTCCAGACTGTGGCAATGTCTCATACCTCCCTTGTTTTTGATGTTCTGGACACTTTTGCGGAGTACTGCTCAAGTGTTTTGTACGATAGTCCTCAATTGGAATTTGAGACCGCCTTTTTTAAAGCATGTCTACGGACATTTCTCTATGAACTATATACTTCACAGCAATGGTATCATTCTCCTTATTATCTTTTCTATACCAAGGTTCCACTCTCTACCCCTTACCCTCCAAATATATGTATTTTAAATGAACTCTCAGCAGAATTCAGAATGTTCAATCAAGTCCTTCACTTTGTATTCTAGATTGATGGTAACTACAGCCTAACAATCACTTGGTCACACGTTAAAAAGAAAAAAAGTATGCATGACGTTAAACAAAGAAAAACAATAGTAACAAAAATTTGACATTTTATTAATAGAAATAATATTTTGAACTGAAAAATATTTCGTAGGTGGAAGCATAAAGAGAAGTTTAAAGAATAAAATTGCAACTTATTAAATTTTACATGTATGTAGAAGCAGAAAATTTAGATGAGGAAATATTTTTTCCAACTGCATTATTTTTCTGTGGTTGCAGTAACAAATTACCATAAACTGGCTGGCTTAAGAAAACAGACATTTATTCTCTCACAGTTCTGGAGGCCAGAAGTCAAGGTGATCATAGGTCACACCTCCTCTGGGGCTCTTAGAGGAGAATCTGTCCTCTGCTTCTTTCAACTTCTGGTAGCTGCTGGCGAATCCTTGACATGTGACCCTCAGTCCAATCTCTGTCTCTGTGGTCATGCTGACTTTTCTTTTTCTGATAAATCTCCCCTGTGTGTCTTTTATAAATACACTTGGCATTGAATTTAGGTGTCACCTGGATAATCCAGGGTGATCTCATTTCAAGATCCTAAATTTAATTGCATCTGCAAAGACACTTTCCCCCAAAATGTAGTGTTCCTTTATATGTTATGGGGATTAGGACATGGATGTACGTTTTTGGGGGCCACCCCTCATCCTTCCAGATAAACATTCAGATTATTATGGTCCATTGATTTCTCTGATATTTCAAAATGCTAGTGGTTGTTTCTTTGAGGTTAGGCAGTTTTATGTTACAGACATTTTCATAGCATTTTCAGAGTAAATAATTTTTCTATTTTAATACAAACATAGCACCCATTCAAATAAAGAAAAACTCAGTTAAATATGTAGCTTCAGGGACATCTTTTTATTAAGTAAGAGTTATCTTAGATTTGAAGGAAAACTGGAGAATGAATGTTTAATGGACAAATTCAGAGACGTTATTCCAACACATGGACTTGTGTTGATGATTTTACATCCCAGAATTCATAACGAATCTGTCAATCTCTCACTTATTCAGCTGATGGTTGATGTTGACTGGGAACTAGGGTGGGGCATCTAGAAGAGTCTCCACATGGAGTCTCTCCATGTGGCTTGGACTGAGGGCCACATGTCAAGGATTTGCCATCAGCTACCACAGCTGAAAGAAGCAAAGGACAGATTGTCCTCTAAGAGCCCCAGAGGAAGTGTGACCTATGATCACCTTGACTTCTGGCCTCCAGAACTGTGAGAGAATAAATCTCTGTTTTCTTAAGTCAGCCAGTTTGTGGTAATTTGTTACTACAACTACAGATTGCTTGACTTACTTATAGCATGGGAGCTTAAGATGGCTGGACTTCTTCCACTGTGGCTCCGGGGATCCAAAATGTTTGTCCCAGCTGGCAAAGTAGACATCTCATCATCTTTTGTGACATAGCCTAGGAACTAACTTGGCATCATTTCCATTATTTTGGATGAAGCAGTCAAAAGTCTACCCATATTCAAGGGGAGAGGACCTGCACCTCACCTCTTAATAGGAGAAATATCAAAGAATTTATAGGTATATTTAAAAATTGCCATTACCAGCTCTTATGGTAATCAAAATATGTTATGGTTCTATCTCAATAATTTCTGCTTGAAAAGTCATTGACTTTGGAAAAGGATAGTACTACATATACACCAATCCTCAAGGTTCTGGGTTGTGCTAATTTTGTGGTTCTTTAAAATCATCTGGGGAAAATACCAGTAGCTGATTCCCACATCCAGAGATTTCTAACTTACTTGACCTGGAATTGGACTTGGGTGTCAATTATTTTTAATTTGTTTAGTGTCTTGTTCCTTAGCATCATGCTAGTTGTAGGATCCTTTTATTGATTCCCTTGGATGCTTCTTACTCAGTTGTTTCAGAAACAGAACTTTGGGTCCCATCAATGAGGACAGGAAGGGCTGGGCAGGTGAGCTAACCTCTGGAGCAAGCACAGAGATTTCAAGGGCTGGGTCTTGCTTGTTCATGGTTATGTCACTGGGGTTTTTGGAAGGAGTTGAGGTTGTAAATGAGACATCCAATGGGTGGGGCGGAGGAATAACAGAAGAGTGAATAACAAGGAGAATATGCACAGGTAATGTCTGACATTCATCTCTGCCAAAGACCGCCACTTCTCAAACCTGTGAACAGTGTTTTACGCTTTTGGGTTTTAAAATTTCAAGATTTATAACACTTTAAAGAAAAAAGAGATATGTCACACTTTACAAAAAGAATATACTACAGTGAAGTAAAATTCTTATCTGTTAGCTCTTGTGCGAGATAGTTTGAGGTGTCCTGTTCATGTATCAACTTTCTCAACTATTTTCCTTTTCTTCTTCCACTGCAGGAATTGTCATCTTGATGTGACATCTGTTCTCCAAAGTGGTCACAGAAGAGAATTGGAAACTGATTTTTCGCCACACAGGTAACAGAGGAATCTTGGTTTAGCATTCTGGCCATTCTCAAATTTCTTTGAGTGCCTTTGTTCTTAAACAGTGGGCTGCCTTTTAAAATGGACTTTGTTTTTAGCTATTCATGGGTCTGAGAATGTGACGCATGTGCTTCTTTAACTGATAGTGAGTTCAGAGAAAGCAAAACATGTATCCTTGGCAAATCACATGCAATGTCAAAAGGAGAATGAGTCCATGACTTGTTCCTGCTCATGATTTTAGCAACAGTAAAAAGAAAATACCAGAGGGCAATTATGGTTCTCATCTCAAATGACATCCAGATGTCCAGTTGTTTAAAGGGAGGTGCCTCAGCTGTGATTATATGTCCCGAAGGGAGCAGGGGGAATTCATTCTCTATCTTTTATAGACTCCTTGTAATCCTTAGCACTACAGGGCTAGGTCAGTTTTCTTAAAAGTCATGTGATTTGCATTCTTAGCGAATGAAAAGATAGTACATTTGGCGTGCATGTGTGCACCTGTATGTTTGTGTGTGCGTGCTGAAGGCAGGGGTGGGGAAAGGAGTTGTGCTGAAACAAATATTACAGACCACAGCAGATGGGATGACTTTTGAGTTGGGTGTTTCTGGGGTTAGTGTGAGAATGGAGAGTGTATGATGGGGAAGTCCTTTACCTGACACTGAATTTATGCTGCAGGTTTGGGCATGGTTGTTTGAGATACCACAGTTTGCCCAGTTGGTGCAATTAAAATGGAATGAACTGCTTCCCTGGAACTGATATTCTGAAGAAAATAGGGAACACAAGCTTTCTTTTAGTTTCTAGAATCTTATCCAGAAGGGATGGAACTTTGAGAAGTAGCAACGGATTCAAGATAGAGCTTGGCCATGAATTTGCTGTGTAATATAGAGTTTGGCCATGAATTTGCTATGTGACGTGGAACAAGAGGTGTTGCCTCCCCCAGCCTGTTTTCACTGTAAAGTGGTGGGGTTGATTTGTAAGACCTCTGAAGAACTTGCTAATTCTGTCATTCTAAATACTTATTGGACACT